CTCACTGATTAGCCAATGAAAAGGGTAGCGGTCGTACGCCAATTACCATGTTTCTCTATTATTAGTGTAGATGATGTTAAACACTATGAAGGAAAATACAGGATACTATGAGATAATCACAGGGAGACCTAATTTAAGAAGGTAAATCACAAAAACCTCTTTAAGGAAATGAGATGTGAGCTGAGACCTGAAGGATGAGTAGGAGGCAGGTAAAGAATGAGAGGTGTCCAGCCGGTGTGGCTCAGTGGTTGAGCATCGGCCTATAATCCAGGAGGTGAGAGTTCAATTTCCAGTCAGGGCACATGCCGGGGTTATGGGCTCAATCCCCAATAGGCAGCGTGCAGGAGGCAGCCAATCAGTGATTCTCTCTCATCATTGATGTTTCTATCCCTGTCCCACTCTCCCTTCCTCTCTTTGAAATCAATAAAAAGGATGAGAGGAAATGCATTGCAGGCAGAAGGAGTAGCATGTGTGAAGGCACTTGGCAGAAAAAGAATTGGGCGTTTGAAGACATGATTTGCAGAATTAACAGAAAGGCAGTGTTCTGGGAGTGAGGTGGGCAGGGACTGATCAGACTAGCCGTGTTAGCCACTTTTGGATTCATTCTGAGTGCAGGGAAAGCTATCAGCATGCTTTTCACTTGGGTTTCCTTTGTAAGAGTCACTGAGACCGCTGTTTGGGAAATGGATTTGGTTGGTGGGAGGGGCACCAGAATGAATGTGGGAAGTCAATTAGAGGTGGCTATGACTCGGTATAGGCAAAGGCGATAATGACTCCTGGAAAAGAGGAGATGACCAGGGGACATCCCAGCCTGGGCAGAAGGTAGGAAAATGTGTATATTCAGGGTAGAAGGGCGGGCCAGTGAAGACACTTCTGCTTAAGTTAACATGGTTGTCACTTGTTCATCAGAGATAAAGAACCAAGAGAAAAAAACAGATAAACCATCTTTTCTAACAATCTCCCTATTTCTGTCTGGTGTTCAAACCCACAGGCTTAGCCTTCGCAATGCTGGCAGCTGTGCCTCCGGTGTTCGGCCTGTACTCTTCGTTTTACCCTGTTATCATGTATTGTTTTTTTGGAACCTCCAGACACATATCCATAGGTAAAAGCTTATACTTGATACTCTAGTACCGTTCCATTTGGCTTTCTCAGCTTTGCAATGTGCCGAAGACATAGCATGTTTGTTATTAGAACATCTGCTTAATAATAACTTGTTACTGCACACACAGTAGGTACTTTAAAATACAATCCCCCCCCAAAAAATTTCTAGAACTAATAGCTTTCTTATCATCTTGGCATAATGGGGAGGGGGGGGAAGAAAGACAATTTTCTTGTGTAAAAAGAGCAGTTGTTAAATCTGTGAAATACGTGTTTTAATTCATAATACAATTTACTTGCATCTGTTTTTCTTTTTATTTCATTAGTGATACTGCAAGTTCCTAATTACCACACATGTATTGCATTTTCATCTGATTTTAGGCTCTGGATTCCCTGTAGTGTATTTCGTGTATTTAGGATCAGATTTATATGGATTTCATAATAGCCTTGGTGCTGCATGAGGCAGCCCCCAGCAAACACAGGCACAATGTTTCAGATGTCCATTCCTAGGTAACAAATACCCCCCAAATTTAGCAGCTTAAAGCAAGAATTATTTCACTGTGTCTCACAGTTCCTGTGGGTCAGGATTTGGGAAAAGCTCATCTGGGCAGGTCTGGCTCAGGGTCTCATGCAGTTGAGAGTCAGAAGGGAGCTGGGGCTAGAGCAGCTACAGGAAGCCTGAACCTCTTTCTCTCTTGTTCCCTCTCACCCTCTCCTCTTGCCCTTTGCTCCCTCTCTTTCTTCTTTCTCTCCCCACTCCCCTCTCTCTCCACCTGGTCCTAACTGGAGTTTTCTCACGCTCAGGGCTGCAGCACGAGCAAGTGTAACAGCTCTCAGGTGGAAGCTGCATCACCTGTTGTTACCTAGCCTCGGAAGTCAACAGTATCACTGCTGCTGCATTTTTTAAAATTTATCTTTATTGTTGAAAGAATTACAGATGTCCCCCTTTTTCTCCCATTGACCCCCTCCATCTCACATCTGCCCCTCCCAGGTTTTCATCACACTATCCTCTGTGTCCACAGGCTATGCATCTATGCATATAAATTCCCCCAGTTAATCTCTCCCCACCCCATGCCCACTCCCGCCTTCCCTCTGAGATTCATCAGTCTCTTCCATACTTCTATGTCTCTGGATCTATTTTGTTCATCAGTTTATGTTGTTCATTAGATTCCACATATGAGTGAGATCATGTGATACTTATCTTTCTCTGACTGGCTTATTTCGCTTAGCATAATGCTCTCCAGGTCTCTCCAGGCTGTCTCAAAGGGTAAGAGCATTCTTTTGGTTACTAATATGTCACAAGTCCTCTCAGATTCAAGGAGAGGGGAATTAAAAATTAGTCTATGTCTTAATAGGGAAATGTCAAATTTCTAGAAGAGTCTGTGGGATGGAAGATGTCATCATGGTCATTTTTGGAGAATACAGTCTGCACACACACAGTTTACATACCAGTATATACCAGGAGCAGTGGTTTAATGCTTAAGGAGAACAGTGCAATTTTATTTCAATGATGATTTGTTGACTTCGCCCGTGTTCTCTAGAGTACTGGCAACAATCACATCAGATACACTGAAACTGATTTCCTTGATTCACGCGTCACTATTCCAGGTCCGTTTGCTGTAATTAGCCTGATGATTGGCGGCGTGGCTGTTCGCTTAGTACCAGATGATATAGTCATCCCGGGAGGAGTAAACGCAACCAACGGTACAGAAGCCAGAGACGCCTTGAGAGTGAAAGTCGCCATGTCAGTGACCTTACTTGCAGGAATCATTCAGGTAAGACTCAGAGACGGGGAAATGGGCTCTCGTTGGTTCATTTCATAAATATCTATTGAGCACTCTTGGCTGGTCTACTGGGTGGGTAGGATCAGCCTGCAAGATCCCAGAGCTCAGAGCTCGCAGCACCCGGGAGCACCAGGCCGATTATATGCCTTACTGAAGTTAATTATGTTTTAGGAACCAGCAAACCGCTGCTGGGTACTTTAGAGATTCCAAAAGCAAGAAAAGCCTGAAGCAGAATTATTTAGTAATGGGAAGAGGCTTCTCATATGTGCTTGGAAGGAACAGGCAATGACATTGACTCAACGTGTCCAGGTTCTGAGTGCCTGAGGCTCCTTGGGACTCCAAGCCACTCCAGACCTTCCAGTGTTTTTTGTACAATCAGCGATTGATTTGTTAGCTGCTTAACTGTTGCGGGTGCAAATGCGTAGTGTTAGAAAGTGGTCCAGAAAGAAACTTGTATGTTTTCTGTTGGTTTTAACTTCCTGATCTATCATGTGATTTATTTGTTTCTTTGTCATTTAAAAAAAAATAGTTTTGCCTAGGTGTCTGTAGGTTTGGAAGGTGCAAATGTGTAGTGTTAGAAAGTGGTCCAGAAAGAAATTTGTATGTTCTCTGTTGGTTTTAACTTCCTGATCTATCATGTGTTTTATTTGTTTCTTTGTCATTTAAAAAAAATAGTTTTGCCTAGGTGTCTGTAGGTTTGGATTTGTGGCCATATACCTCACAGAGCCCCTGGTGCGTGGCTTTACCACCGCCGCAGCTGTGCACGTCTTCACCTCCATGTTAAAATACCTGTTTGGAGTTAAAACAAAGCGGTACAGTGGGATCTTTTCAGTGGTGTATGTAAGTAAGCAACTTACTGGTCCTAGTTTTTCCTTCTTTCTTTTCCCTCCTCCTCTTCTGTATCTCTTTTACCTTCAGGGCTCACTTTTCTTTTTTTCTAAGAATTTTAATACAGTGGGAAAAACTTGGTTATTCTAAAGCTTTTCTGAAAAGAGCACTACAAAATGAATTAAACCTTAAGCTCTCCTTTTATTAATCTACGATACTGCCTGCCTTACAAGGAATTTTTTGTTAGGTCTTTATTTGGTGGCTACACCTTCACCCTCGTTAGCTGAAAAGACAGCTTTTTCTTGAGACAGAATTATATTCTCTTTGGGAACTAACAAATAATTTAAAAGTGTCATGGGAGAACCTAACTCCCTCAAAAACTGCTTATTCAAGCAGGCAAAAAATAAGAATATAAAAGATTTGGCTAACACAATTAACCAGTTTAATCTAATAAAAAATATACAGACCTTTGCATCCAACTCAGAGAAAATATAAATTCGTTATAAGAACATAGGGAACAATGGTAATAACCAATTGTGTTGAAACTTACATGTGAAACTGATCACAAATTCTAAAAATTTAGTATATTTTTACACAGTATGGTATAATTAGTAATCAGTAATTAAATATAGCTTTAAAACTCCCACACATTTAGAAACAAACAAAAAAAACCTACTTCTGAGTAACCCATGGATAAAAGAAATGTTTAAATAATTAGAACCAAATGACAGTTAAAGTGCAATGGGAAGACGAGTAGTAAGCCATTAATTGCATAAATGTGTAATTGATTAAAATATTGTTCGAAGCTGTGAAGAAAAGGCACTGGCTACTAGGAAAGCTGCATAGGGAGACCTTTAGATTAGCGGTCTAGGAAAGTCACTTTGAGGGGGTGCCATTTAAATTGAATCCTGGATGGATTCAAATGGAATCAAACTGTAGGAACATTCCCTAAATAACTAAATTCTTCATTTCCCATAATAGCTGGTAGCATGCTTCTTACTCTGAGATTTTTCTAAATGCCTCGTCACCCAGGAGACAGAACAGACGGGCACCTGAGTATGCTGTAGGCATTGCTAAGAAAGGTGTGTAGCCGGGGCTCAGCAGTAACCTACTTTCCCAGGGTCCAGATAAGTATTGACTGTATTTGGGGTGCTGGGATTGCAGCCTGAGGATAAAATTAAACGGCTTTCTTTAACTCTCCTGGAAATCTTTTCAGACTTCAGCACCCTCTTGCCTTCAAAGCCCACCTGATTCTTCTTTCATCTGCTCACCAGGATTTCTCTCTCTTTCAGCTCTTAAAAGTTTTTCTATGTCTTTACCTTTGTATTATTTTGCTGGTATCAGCCCCTAATCCTTTCTCAACGCTCAGGACTCGGTACAAAGGTTACTCTTCTGAATTTTATAATACTACATTGACACATGAGCATGTCAAAGAGCACTGTAAGATTGTTGGATAAGAATTCAGCTTTCAAGTTGTCTGACGAGGGGGAAAAGGCTCCAAATTGGGGGAAGCTACAAAGAGAGCGAGTTGAGCCTGAGAGCTCTTGACGAGAACGCCCAGTGCTGGGCTGCTGTGTGAATTAGTGCACTAGTGACTGCCCAGGGCTGCTGCCCGATGTAAACCCCAGTGTTCACTGTGTTACAGAGTACAGTTGCTGTGTTGCAGAATGTTAAAAACCTCAACGTGTGTTCCCTAGGCGTCGGGCTGATGGTTTTTGGTTTGCTGTTGGGTGGCAAGGAGTTTAATGAGAGATTTAAAGAGAAATTGCCGGCACCCATTCCTTTAGAGTTCTTTGCGGTAAGTCAACTTTCAGCTGTTTCTGAGAGGGGCGCGCAAGTGGATGGGAGGGAACAGGGTGTTAGACCTTTCTCTCTCAGTTCTGCCAAGAGAAGGGTAGAATTTGAAAGGGGAACTTTTACAATTACACTGACAAAAAAGAAAAATCATTAGAGCCCTGAATGGATGGTTTTTAAAAGATAGGTGAAGACGCTGTAAATATTTTCATGGGAATTATCTGTGAGTGATGAGATTAAGGAAGATTTTTCTGCCTCAATGTTTTATTGTCTAATTCTTTTATAATGAACACATAACTTTAATAACCTGAAAAAATTAAGCTGTTTCAATTTTGAAAAGAGCAAAAAAAAACAAAAGTTCCCAAACTTTCTTGGTTCCTGGCTCTCCTACGTCAAAAGAAATACCTAATGGTTTAATTTAGTAAGTAGTTAAGTCCAAGCAACTTAATACGTACTTATGTCTAACAACCTAAGAACTGTAAAAATAATGCACATAAATTGAAACAAAATATATATTTATTACACTGTTAAATAACCGCAGTTATCTGACAAATCCTCAAGTCAGATGAGTACTTCTACCCTCCATTTCCTCTTCACTTCGATTTTTCATGGTGCCTGCTTTCTACCCCAGCAACCCCCGAATGCCCAGTTTTGCAAAGATACAGAGTAATCAAAAGGAGTGTAGTAGGAACTGATGTGGAAACTGTGAACTACCTCCGACTAGAAGTGTGCATAGCGTCTGGCACATGTCACTGTTTTCCTTGAAAGTTCTATCCCATGGTGTCCTGGTGAGTTCCCCGTGGTACCCTGGGGCACCTTGGTGCATAATTCGAGAACCATAAGGATAAAAAATAGAAAGTATAGGTGTCTGACCCAAATTTAGCCAAAAGTTTGAGCCACGAAAACAACAGGCCAACATTACAGCTCAGGAAGAAACCAATCGCTTTGATCCTTTTCCGTGCTTTGGTCATGTCTACATCCCAACAGGACGGTCTAGCACAGCGGTTCTCAACCTGTGGGTCGCGACCCCTTTGGCGGTCGAACGGCCCTTTCACAGGGGTCGCCTAAGACCATCCTGCATATCAGATATTTACATTACGATTCATAACAGTAGCAACATTACAGTTATGAAGTAGCAACGAAAATAATTTTATGGTTGGGTCACAATATGAGGAACTGTATTTAAAGGGCCAGAAGGTTGAGAACCACTGTTCTAGCAGTTTCAAAGCCTGTTCTCTCATTGGGGCTGGGCACGGAGTTCCTGCTTCGTCACGGAGGACAGCACGAGGCTCTCAGCTCCTTTGCAGGGCAAGGAGACGGGCAGGCCAGGCCTAATTGTGCAGCAAATGGTGAAGATTGCCTTTCCCGGCCTGGGTTCCTGGTTCTGTCCATTTTCCAGGTTCCCTTTAATGGATTCCTTCATGTTTCCCAGGGCAGTGGTTCTCTAGAATTTTATCCTTGTGATTATAGGAATCCAGTGTTTTTTAACTTTCTTATCTAAGTTCTCCTCAGAGCAAGGGAGAGAGAAGCCACGCTGGAAAATGTGGGACAGTCTGTATGACTCCCTTTATGACTCCCTTTAAACATAAAATTTCTTTTTTATCATAAAAACACTTTTGAGTTTTGCATTCTGTTTTGTAATATAATCTGTTTGTGTTAATCGGAAAGCGGGGTTTAAATTAGTTTCCACTATATAAAGTTGAGGCAATGGAAACTGAAGCCACATTTATCCTATGGATTTGAATATTCTGGGCAAACACCCCCACCACCACCCCCCAGTTTGAGTTGCACAACTAATACAATTCAGGGTGACAGACATAAATGCGACCAACAAAAAGGGGTAATTCAGCCCGGCCAGTGTGGCCCAGTGGTTGAGCATTAACCTAAGAACCAGGAGGTCACAGTTCGTTTCCCAGTCAGGGCACATGTCCGGGTTGTGGACTTGATCCCCGGTAGGGGGCGTGCAGGAGGCAGCTGATCAATGATTCTCATCACTGATCTTTCTCTCCCTGTCCCTTCCTCTCTAAAATCAATTAAAATATATATATTTTAAAGAACAGGGAGCATCTCATCAAAGGGGCCAGAAGCACCCATGTGCTTGGTCTCTCAGGCGGCTGTGTCAGATAAGCTCACCTCATTATGGGTTCCCTGAGCTGCCACCACCGTGAGGGACCGCTCCCTTCCCTGGACAGCCTTCATTCCTTCTCAGCAGCCCACTCAAAGCTCTGTAGCGATCATTCTTCAGGATGAAGAAAATTGCCTGCCTTCCTTCTTGTTTTTCTCTTCTTGTAGCTCACTAAGGGTACTGCTTTCCACACCAACCGAATCTATGCCTGGCAATCCGGGCAGCTGGTGTATGATGAAACATGTGTGATGGGCATTGCACTCTGACCCTGGCTGAACTGGGAGGAGGCAACTGCAGGCTGCTCCCCCACACGTGGTGCTGGAAACAGGGTCAGCAGGACGATTGCAGATCCAAACCTACATTATTTTTTTTGTTTTTATTTTTTTAATTTATCTTTATGGTTGGAAGTATTACAGATGTCCCCTTCTTTCCCCCATTGACCCGCTCCACTCCCCATTCTCCCTCTACCCCACACCCTCCTTCTACCCCAGGCCTTCACCCGCACTCTTGTCTGTGTCCATGGGCTATGCATAGAGGCATATAAATTCTTTGGTTAATCTCTTCCTGTCCCGCCTCCCTTTCCCTCAGATTCGTCAGTCTGTCGCATGCTTCCATGTCTCTGGATCTATTTTATTCATCAGTTTATTTTGTTCATTAGCTTCCACATATGAGTGAGATCATGTGATACATGTCTTTCTCTGACTCTCTTATTTCGCTTAGCATAATACTCTCCAGGTCCCTCCATGCTGTCTCAAAGGGTAAGAGATCCTTCTTTTTTACAGCTGCATAGTATTCCACAGTGTAAGTGTGCCACAGCTTTTTTATCCACTCATCTACATTTTATAATGATACACTGTCATCGTACCCCCCTTCACAGTGCAAGCTTCAGTGACCTCTATTCGCGCCATGTGATCAGAGACACATTTCCCCTGGCCCACATGCACAGCCAACTCCTGAAAGGTTTTATGGGTTTTTTTGTTTGCAGTCAACTAGCCAAACACTTCAGCATGGAACAGACCAAAAGAAAAAGAAAAGCATCCAGGCCACAAGGAAACTAGAGTCCATTTTAATTTTCCGGGGAGAGTCGTCAGGAGAATTTAGAATTGCTAGAAGCTAACTATAATTCTTCTTTTTAAAACTGAAAGTTGAGTGAGAATAGATTTGGTTTGGCTAACAGTATTTGAAGAGCTCATTTTTGTGGCATTTGAATTCTCATCTGTAAAGGACATTTGGTTTGTGTCTGTTTTAGGTGGTGATGGGAACTGGCATCTCAGCTGGGTTTAGCTTGCACGAGTCGTACAATGTGGATGTCGTTGGGTCACTTCCTCTGGGGTAGGAAAATAATTTGAAGTAACAGTGTGACTTGACTAATAAATGCATCTAATATGGTTTCTAGCTCCTGCTTTAGTGTTCTTGCAATGAGAAACCCCTTTTATTCTGACCTATCAAATAGCTGAAGGTTTGGGGGGCAGGGGCTTGGGGGGTTTTGTTGTTTTGATTTTTGATTTTTAGCATGTGCATGGGTGGTTGTTGTTTATTGTGGTAAAAAAAAAATAACATAAAATTTACCATTTTAATCATTTTTAAGAGTACCGTTCAGCAGTGTTAATTATACTCGTGTTGTGAAACTGATCTCCAGAGCCTTTTCATCCTGTAAATCTGAAACCCATGCCCATTAAGCAATAACTCTCCATCTCCCTTCCTCAGCCCCTGGCAACCACCATTCTGCTTTTTGCCTCTCTGAATTTGACTACAGTAGGTACCTCATATGAGTAGAATTGTGCAGTACTTGTCTTTTTGTGACTGGCTCATTTCATTTAGCATAATGTCCTCAGAGTTCATCCCTGTTGCAGCATATGCCATGATTTCCTTCCTTTTTAAAGCCGAATAGAAGTCCACGGTGGGTACACCAGTTGCTGTTTTCATCCGTCGGTGGGTGGCTGTGCACCTCCCACCTCTTAGATGCTGTGAATAGTGCTGCTATGGACACGGTGTGCACATATCTCTCCGAGACTCTGCTTTCCATTCTTTGGGGTGTGACTTGGTGAGGAGCCTCCACGCCGTTCTCCATTCTGCCTGCACCGTTATAGTCCCACCCGCGGGGCATGTGGTGTTTGTTTTGTTTCCTATTGTTTAGCACTTACCAGTGTTTTAAAACTCTCCTTGGGAGACATAGAAATTAAGAGCAAAAAGACCTAAGTCTAGCCTGCCACTTTTTAGCTGCGTGACCTTGGGCAAGTCCCTGTCCTCTCAAAGCCTCTGTTTCCTCCCCTGCCTGGCAAGCCTAGTAACTGACACCTTTCCGAGGCCCATTGAGAGCCCCAGAGATATTAGTGTAGCACCTGAGACGCTGTAAGCGTCCAAGACACAGTAACCAAAAGTTCTCTGGCTCATTCTTTCAACAACTTTTCTAGTTTCAAATCATGTGTTACTTCTTTGCTTCATCTTTTTTTTTTATCTAACTCTTTAAATGTTTTATTCCCTTTCTTTGAAGGAGCAAGAGTGGCGATGAGCCGCTCCCGGTCTGGCTCTGTTCCTCTCTGACACTCTCTGGCGGCCTCTGCATCTCTCTGTGTCTCTGTCTCTTATACTGTCTCACTCACCACCCCCTTCTCTTTCCAAAAAACCGAGGCAGACATTTGCCCCGATGTTGGAGGCTGACAGAACCTGGCATGTCCCCTCAGACCTTGCCTCTAGCCCCACCTACGAACCTTGAGGGAATCACAGGAAGCAGGAGGTGCTCTTTAAGACAAAGTTCACTCCACAGAGCAAGTGTTGAAGGAGGAAGCATGAACTCACGTATAACACAGTAATAATGCTTGATTTTCTATTTGGACTTGGAATTTATAAAACACTTTAGCCTGGCCCGGCCAGGGTGGCTCAGTGTTTGAGCGTCGACCTATGGACCAGGAGGTCAGGGTTCAATTCTCGGTCAAGGCACATGCCTGGGTTGCGGGCTTGATCCCGTGTGGGGCATGCAGGAGGCAGCCAATCAATGATTCTGTCTCATCATTGATTTTTCTATTTATCTCTCTCCCTCTCTCTCTCTCTCTCTCTGAAATCAATAAAAATATTTTTTAAATACTTTAATACCCACCATCTCAGTTGCTGCTCACAATAACACTTGCGACGTACGTTATTCCCATTTTACAGATAAGCAAGTTCATTTATTCAGCATGTGTTTAATGAGTGCCTATTATATGCCAGGGGCACAGCAGTGAAAAGCAAACATGTAAGCATGAATGTCTTTGTTTTCATGGAGCTCATATTCTCCTGGGGGTGACAGGCAATAACCAGATAGTGAGAGGTGCTATGCAGGCAGAGGAAGCCAGGAAAGGGATAGGAGGGGCTGGGGTTGCTGTTTTAGGTAGAGTATCCAAGAAGGTGACACTTGAGAGACATGAATGAGGTTTGGTGACTCCTGGTGAGTCCCAGCCTGGACCCAGAGCTCAGTCTTCCGATACCCAGTGGTGTGCACTTTCCATGACCTCACCCCTGAGTCACTAAGATAATTAGTCATGTGATAAACATTAGTCTTGGACTGGATCCAAGAGCTAACCCTACTGAATAACTAATCACAAGTAATTTGAATAAATGTGAATTCTCACATTTAGACTTCTTTTAAAAATTCACATGCCACCCATATACTTTCCCGATTACATTGCTTTCCCTCTGTCAGCGCTAAAGTTTTTTCTTTTCTAAATGACATTTTACCTTTCTGAAACTTGGCTACCCAGAAAGCTTATCTTTCTGGAATTTTGCCTCAAACCAAGCAGGAAACCAATAAAGCCTGCCTACCCACCTATCTATATCTGTATCATCACACCGTTTCCGTTATCTGTGAGTCTTATCAGTGCTTAAAGCAGCATCCATTTCTTGGTGCACAGCTCATCGGTCCAGGTGAGGCTCGGCTGGTGGTTCTCTGGCTGCTCTCACTTGGGGTCTCTCCTGCAGCTGTAGATGTCTGACAGGGTGACCGGGGCTGGAGGCTCCAGCGGGGCTGACACCTCAGCCGGGGGGCTGACACCTCAGCCGGAGGGCTGGGACTGCTGAGGGCGGGCTGGCCTCTGCTCTCCACGTGGTGTCTCTACGCAGTGGCTCAAGACAGGACAGAAAAGCAGAAGCCGCTGAAAGCGCTCACACAGCGTCGCTTTCACCACATTCCGCTGGTCAAAGCGAATCACAAGATTTACCCAGAGGAGAAACAGATTCCACCTCTAGATGGGAGAGCAGCACGTGCAAGGACGGGAGAAATTCTGGGTCCTATCTGAAAGCAGACTATCCCACTTACTGACACACATGCATATCACTCTTGTCTACACGCACGCACGTAAGTACGTACACAGTACAGTGTCCAGAAAGTGGCGGTTGACTCTTAAAGATCCAAGTTGTGGCAGCACATTCTGTTTCTTGGTTGACTTTCCTCCCTTCATTCCAAAATCAACCCTTTTCTCATATTCTTATTCCTCAGACCAAAGCTGCTCCCAGGCCTTCCCTCTTGGCTAACGCTTCTGTAGCAAAGGGCAAGGGCAAGACAGTAAGTTTTATAGTCAGACCCCTGGAGTGTGACTGCCTGCTCCATCTTGGGCAAATTACCTGACATCTGCAAGCATCTATTTTTCTCACCGATGAATTGGGATAATAATGGTACCTATCTCATAGGGTTATCGTGAGGATACAGGAGATGACGTATGTCAAGCATGTAGCACATAATCTAGGCTTTTATGTTAGATTTCTCTCCTCTCTCCCCTCCCTTTCCTTTACCCCAGAACTTGAGATATCCCCTTTGTCACTGTGATATGACATAGTAAGAGAAATAGGCACAGGGAGGTGGATTCTTCATGGTTTTCATTGTGAGCAGTTGGTGAGCTGTTTGACCTGGAACAAGTTGCCTCGCCTCATTGTGCCTCATTTTTTTCATCCGTAAAATGGCCATTATGATGGTGCCTAGCTTACAGGGCTCCTGGAGATAAATAAGCACGGAACCTGGCACAGAGGAAATACCTAGTGATTGTTACTGTAAGAATAATATTATGCATCAGTTAACTGATTGTTTTTATTATCTAGCCCAGTGGTCGGCAAACTGCGGTTCACGAGCCACATGCGGCTCTTTGGCCCCTTGAGTGTGGCTCTTCCACAAAATACTTCGTGGCCCATGCGCAGAAGTCAGTATTTTGTGGAAGAGCCACACTCAAGGGGCCAAAGAGCCGCATGTGGCTCGCGAGCCGCAGCTTGCCGACCACTGATCTAGCCCAGTGTCTCAAATGGTAGCAGGTGCCTTTGAAAACCTATATTGCTCCTTCCCCCAAACTATTCTAGGGAATTCCTATTCTTTTCCTTTAGGAAGGAGTTTCCAACCTATAAAATGGACCACAGAAATTAGGTTGCCCATTGTGGGGCTTCCGGAGTCACATTATTGGCCCCTTCAGACTCCCAGGTGAGACCCAAGGAGCATAATTTGCTGCAGCTCCTTTCTGATGTTAGAAACTCACCTGAAGAGATCCTGGGAAGAAGCAGTTATGTGAAATAACAAGGGAGAGCAGTGAGTGCCTACTACTGCTCGGACAGTAATTCTCCTCCAAGATGACCCTTGCCCACTACCCTCCCTGCCCTCAGACTTTGGTTCGAATGTCTCTTCTTCCTGTTCTGGGTCTTACTTACACCTGCCATGCAGGTGCCATGAGGTGTGAGGTTACTCCTTTTCTAAATAAAACGGCATCTGATCTCTGCTGATAACCCATTCAGGTAGAAAGGTGGTACTCTGGGGCTGAGGCCTGGAAAGAACCTCTGTGTGTCCAGAAGGGCCCTTTTTGCCAAACGAGAGCAAACAAGTACCCATGGATCACCTCCTTTGTAAATAATGCCCCTCTGAGATGCTCCCCTTTCATTGCATGTTTGTTTCCCAGTGGTCACAGCACTTGGGTTAAAGTCAGCTTGCTCTTTCAGGCTACTCCCTCCAGCCAATCCGGACACCAGCCTCTTCCACCTCGTGTACGTGGATGCCATCGCCATAGCCATTGTTGGGTTTTCAGTGACCATCTCGATGGCCAAGACCTTGGGAAATAAACATGGCTACCAGGTCGATGGCAATCAGGTAAAAATCATTACTTTTGTACAGATGTTCCCTAGTGATACAGTCATCATGCTCTGCTATGAAAGGCAAGTGAACTTGATTCCTCTGTCTTGATCAAAAAACGTGTAGTTTGATGGTGGATGTATTTAAATCATGATTTATTGAACATTACATTTTTTTATAATTAATTTAGATCAGATCATTATCATACTCATCCCATGGGCAGAGGTCCAGCTAGAAAGGTGAAATCTCCCATCTGAGGTTTCCAGTTTGCCATACTGCTATTGATGTTATCACTGTTTTTAGTTGTGTTTGTTTGGTTGTTTTTTTTCAATTACAGTTGTCATTCAATAGATGTGATCACTTTTTAAAGGTCACAGATTGGGAATAAAATGTTTTTCCAGAACCATTTTTACTCCTCAGGAAACCTTCTCTTTGGTCATTAAACGTTGAGTGTATGATTCATCACTCAAACTCCACCGTGTATTCTTTGTCACCTTCTTTTATAACATAGCAACAGATAAGGTATTTCATCTGAATGCCATGAGCTATAATTTTGGCATGACAGTGTCTGTTTTAACATGCTTTGTGTTTCTAAGAGGAGAGGAGATGATCCACATTCATATGAATCACAGTGATCCAACCAGGAAGACCAGAGTAGCCCTGAGGGCCGGACTCACTGTCCCAGGAGGACACTGACGTGTACTCTGGTTGAACAAGAGCCAGGCATTCAAAAGATGTCAGAACTACACACCACAATCCTATATACCTTAACAACAAAAAAGTTTCATCCCTAGCCAATGGACACAGACAGTAGGGGGGCGAGGGCATGTGCTGGGGGGCGGGAGCGGCCGGGGAGAGGTCAATAGGGGGGAAAGGAGACATGTGTAATACTTTCAACAATAAAGAACTTAAATTTTAAAAAAGGATTGTCCCTTAGAGAGTATTTGGGAAAGAAGGGCTGAGTGCAGCATTTACCACCAACACTAAAAATTCAAAGTGTTTCCCACCCCCACCTTAAATTATGTAATAATCCCTATTTTGAGTTCATACTAAACCATTTCTTATATCTGAAGAGACAATGAAGAAACAGCCTATTCTGCTGAAAATGTATATTACGTGGGCCATCGCACCTTTCTAAAGAATAACGGATCTCTTGTGTGCTTTGTTTCCACATGGAAAAGGAGCTCATTGCGCTGGGACTGTGCAATTCCATTGGCTCACTCTTCCAGACTTTCGCAATTTCATGCTCCTTGTCTCGAAGCCTTGTTCAGGAGGGCACTGGAGGGAAGACACAGGTATGTATACGACTGGCTTCTCGGGACTGGTGATTTGGGTGGTAATTTAATTTTAATCCCTTGGTTCTTTTCTGAACCCGAAGCTATTCTGCCTGAAGATTCATGCTCCAGTGAGCTGTGTAGTGAATCAGAAAAAAAGTACGATTGATTGAAGCAAATCCCAAGGAGCTAAATTTATAGGAAAGAGGTATACTCTCCAGCTTAATCAAAAAATTATACGATACTCCTTGCTATCATAAACCTCAAATCTGAGACATAGGATGTTGTCATGAAAGCCTCAGACTGAGAATGGGAAGGATGCCAGCACTATCCAATAGAACTTCCACCAGTGATGGAAATATTCAGTATTTGCACCATCCTGTATGGCAGCCACTGGCCACTTGAGGCTCTTGAGCATTTACAATGTGACTAGTGCGAGCAAGACCTTAATTTTTTACTTTAGTTTAAATTCTTTTAATTTAAAGAGCTACGTGTGGCTGGTGGACACCACATTGGACAGCAGAGTCTTATCTGACCTCTTCTGGCCCTTACGGGTCTCAGATCAGCACCAGACATCTCCTTTCCCCACCCTGGCAAGCAGATTTCAGTCAGGGTATTTCAGCTTCTGTTTAAAAGCTGTAAGAGGAACCAGAACTTCAGAGAAGTGGGAAGGAGTTAATAGGTTTATGAAATGGTTTGAGTGACTTAGATGAATTCATCTTTTCTTGATCGTCTCACATTGCTTATCAAAAGACTAGGACCAATCTATGCTGGCCTCTTACTCTCTCCTAAAAGCCCCTTCCATGTGTCTTTTCTCATGCAGCTTGCAGGTTGTTTGGCCTCGTTAATGATTCTGATGGTCATATTAGCCACCGGATTCCTCTTTGAATCATTACCCCAGGTGTGTAGCTTGGACTTGGTGTGAGGTTTTCCATGTGTACAGACTTTGCTATTTTATTTGTTTATATTTTTGTGGATGTCTCATGGGTCTTTACTGTAACCCTAGCAGGGTGGTATGGGAAAGGGCCAAGGCTAGGACCAAGATCCTGGTCCACAATCTACCAGCAACTGGGACCTTGGGAAAGCCGTCTCAACATCTCTGGGTCTCAGTTTACCTGCAAAGAGGGTGTTTGCACTGGCTAGTCTCCAAGGTCCCTTTCTCCTTGATCTTCTCTCACCTAATACTTCCTTTTAAAATCTGAGATGGCCTACACTCCTAAGACATTTGTTTACTGACATATTTAATCTAGTAGAGATGACGAACAATGTTAGAGTAAAGAAAATCAATGTAGAAAGGCCATTGGGTGAAATAACTCCTCGAGTACCAAGTTTAATTCTGAACCTCTTGACTACCATGCAGGTTTGCTGCTAGGATATAAGCCTGGTTTTCCAAGGCCCATTTTAGCTAACCAAGTCCTGAAAATCCAGGTGTTCATGGCTCCAAATGTACCATCACTGCCGCGTAGGAAGTGAGTGGGGAGAGGGTGTGGGAGGGCAGCAGGAGGACAGTGAGGAGCCAGCAAACGGGGCGGTTTGGACGCAAGAGGAGAGGCAAGTGTGGCTGTGCTGTGTTTCAGGCTGTGCTGTCCGCCATTGTGATCGTCAACCTGAAAGGAATGTTTATGCAATTCTCAGATCTCCCCTTTTTCTGGAGAACCAGCAAAATAGAGCTGGTAAGTAACAAAGGTGATTGTTAGGTGATTGATCATAGCAACACAGGGATTAGTGCTGATAAAAACGTGAGAATTATAATTTAGCACAGTCAGTTGTTATATGCAGTATCCAGTTAGGCAAGGTTACGTACCGTGTGTGTGTGTGTGTGTGTGTGTGTGTGTGTGTGTGTGTATATAACTCTAGGAAATTGTTAACAGGATTCTCCATAAAGCTTTCTGTGTTTCATTCAGACCATCTGGCTTACGACTTTCGTTTCCTCCTTGTTCCTGGGGTTGGACTATGGTTTGATTACTGCTGTCATCATTGCGCTGATGACTGTGATTTACAGAACACAGAGGTGAGTGTACAGATTGGGATGTGTGAGTGTCCTGCCCGAGATTGCAGTGTTGACTTTACGTGGATTGTATCTGTCTACAGACAGAGCATCTTGACGGTGAAGGCAGTGTTCCTAGAGTCCAGAGTCAGGCACATAGTGTGTTCTCTGAATACTTATCGAGGGAATCCAACCAGAAAATCAGCCAGTGTTTGTATTGTATATTCTAACTCACAAAGCACTCGCCTCTGCATGCTAAGAGGCACCAGGACATAGTACCAAGACCATGGAATGTCACAGCAAAGACTTTGGGACATTTTCTGGCTCTCAAAGCTCCCTGACAACCCACCTTACCTCAGTGGGCTTCAATTTATCAAACAAAACTTAAGAAAACTTCTATGCTAACTGGAGATTTTTATTTTCTCCCCACCTCTTCAGTTGACTACCCACACCCCGGTCAGAGACTCCGGGAAACAAAAAGAAAACCTCTTCTTAAGTAGAGTAGGATGACAGTTCTATCTACTGAGTAGAATGAGAACTTGAGTCATGTATGGCATGACTTGAACTCTGCACAATTCGTTTTTACCCCCGTCTTTAAATGCCCAAGTCTTTTTTCCTGATCAGGTCGTTGATATGGTAGGTGTCTGGTGTGGTGTGTATTTGTATGGTATGTGTGTGTAATTGCATTGTGTATGTGTATGTGAAGGGTATGTGTCATATGTGGGGTATGTGTTTCTGTGTGTCTGTGTGTGTTATTTGTGTGATGTGAGATATATTTGCTGTATGTGTGTAATGTATATGTTGGGAGTAAGGTGTAGGGTGTGTGTGGTGTGAGGTGTGTGGGGAATGTTAGGTTTGGAATGGCACTAGGAATGTGAAAGGCACCATATAAGGATCAAGTATTCCTGAATTCACTAGCACATCCATACATGACATTTAAATGTGTACAACTTCATTTTTCAATTACATACTGGGTCTCAGCACAATGGTATTTTAACACATTCACTCTCTCTCTTCAGTCCGAGCTACAAAGTCCTTGGACAGCTTCCTGACACTGATGTGTATATTGATATAGATGCATATGAGGAGGTAGGATCTTTTCTATCATTTTAAACGGTTGTAAGCATATGATGTGATATAATGTGATTGACTAACTAAATTTTATTTTCACCTAGGACAAAAAGTGGGGGTTAAAAGGAAAGAAGTGTACTGGTCAAAGTGAAAATCCTGAATATTGATTTACTCTCTGGATTCACTTTTATAGCTTACACTATACATTATGCTGTACATTAATTGCTCAACCTCCTAATATTTATTTTGTCTCTTTTTTAAATGAGGATAAATATATATTGTTGGAATTAAGGTATATATTTACAAAATACTGAAACTGAGAGGATGGTTTGTATGTGCATGATTTTTTTCTGATGATTTAAACTGATGGTAAAATATTAACTATGTAAAATATAGGTTAAAATCAGGGTTTAAAATATCCTTGATTTTGAATGTTCTTATGTGGAATCTCAAAGACTTTTATAAAATCTTTTAAAACTAGTTTTCTCTGTTTTGTTTTTTCTGGAGACGAAATTCTCAGATTCACTGTAAGATATTAGGAAATGAGATTGTATTAGGATTACTGTTTTCTCCTCTTTCCGAAGAATTATATGCTGAATTACTTGTTTCCAAACTGCATTCCAGAGACAAGGCTTTTTTTTTAAGAGATAGAAACATCAATGATGAGAGAGAATCATTAATTAGCTGCCTCCTGCACACCCTATACTGGGGTCCAAGCCCACAAGTCCACTCAACCACTGAGCCATGCCAGCTGGGCTCCCTGTGTTTGCTTCTATGTATTAGGGTAGAGTGGCCTTGTGTAGCAGGTGTCCTATAGGGCCCAGTGGCTCAGCCTTCCCAGTCACCTGAGCTGAGCACACTAGGTGTGCCCCTGTGTAGGCTGTGTATACAGTCTTGTAGTTGAGCCTTGATTGCTATTGGCATCACTGAGAGGAATTGACCTCCAGGACAATTGGCTGTGAGAACCAGCTGTGACTACAGTGGAAGAGCTGCTGTTCAAGAGACACTCCTATGGAGTAGGACTTGCTTCGGTGAGGCGTTAGTGTTCACTGAGTTTGCCGCTTGAGTGTGTTGCTCATGGATGTGTAAAGTTGTAATCTGGTGTGGACTGAAACTGTCCATTGGGTACAGTGGCTCTGGGGCCTCCCAGGAAATGCAAAGTCAACTACTACCTGAGGCCACCCAGCAGAAGCCACAGAGCGATCTGCATATGGCTGCTATTTGTGTGGGGCTTGGAAGTGCCCAGGCTAGGCCAAGCTGTGAAGCAAGGCAGGCTGCTGCTAGTGCCAGGTCTTGCTGATGGCCAGCTGCTGCTTGTTTGAGAGATTATAGGTAAGTCTGAAGTCTGAGCCAGGACAGACCATTCATATGGAAAAGCCATTGCAAACAGCTTGGGTGGGGCTGCAAATTGGATGGGGTGGGGTCTCAGGAAATCACCAGGGCAGAGAAAACAGTATGAGAAACTCAGATATGGCTGCCAGTCATCTCTGCAACAGGGGGAGGTCTCAGCATAGGAACAGTGACCCCAGTGAGCACCCCTGTCTGAGAGAAAGCCACCCCGAGTGCTTACTCCAATGCCAGATAATCTAGTTTCTCCCCGTATGTTTCTGGATTCCCCCAAACTGCTGCCCCAGCGCTGGAGCTCACAGGGAGCAGGACCATGTAAGTGCATGCGCTGTCCTTTAAGAGGAACTGCTGGGTCTCCAGCAGCCTCAGTGTCACTCAGTCACAGTTCCTGCTGGTTTTACAGCCCAAGTTATGGGGACTTCTCTTTTCAGCTCTGGAACCCTGGGCTGGGGTCCAAAGTGAGGCTGGGACCCCTGTCTTCTCACAAGAGGCCTCTGCAGCAGAGATATCTTCCCGATTTAAAAATAAATAAATAAAAGCCACACAGTGTCGGACCAGCCCATTGTCGCCTCTGCCCCTCCTACCAGTCTCTATATACTTTCATCTTTATTCTCTACTCGTAAGACTTCCATTTAGCCAGATTTCAGGCGGTTCTGAATGATAGTTCTGTATCTAAGTTGTAATTTTGATGTGGTTGTGGGAGGCAGCGAGTACTGGCGTTTACCTATGCCGTCATCCTGGTTCTCTGATCAAAATGTGCATTTTAAAAGGCTTTCTTCTCGGTCTCCTTCCTCCAGAGCACGAGTAGAGAGACATTATTTTATCTAAACACTATTAAGAGGGCCCTTAGCAACCTCTGTGTGAATTTTCAGGTTGGAAGAGGGAGGCTATTGCAGTTTTGATTCTGAAATATTTCCATGTTTTAAATTCACTAACATTTTCTTTCTTAGGTGAAAGAAATTCCTGGAATTAAAATATTCCAAATAAATGCCCCAATTTATTATGCAAATAGTGACTTGTATAGCAGTGCATTAAAAAGAAAGGTGAGTCACAAAAAATTAATTTTACATTGTTTCTCTTTCTACATTTTTGTAGATGTGTGTGTGTATATATATATATATATAACCTTTTAAAATGTATGTGTACATTTTTGTATATATGTGTGTGAGTATATATATATATATATATATATATAACCTTTTGAAAAAAATTTTAAGAAAAGGTGAAAAAATAATTTTAGATTTCTTGCTCTTGGGATCACAAGAGTTCCTTCGGTCATGATTAGAACTTGATCCTACCCTGTCCAGTTTATAGGAAATCCTCACAATCAACCCAAAGTCTATTAAATATAAGAATCTGAGAAATCTAAGTTTGAAAAATGCTACTTTAAATTCCTCTTTAATATTTAGCTTCTGTTTGACTTGAATCAAGACCAAGAATAAGAAAACATACTAAAATTCTTGTAATGAGGGAATAATTCAGTTCAGGGATCTGAGGGAAAGGTAGAGAAAGGTTTGGGGGGGTTCCTGGGAGCCAAGAAGTGATTTTGCAAATATTGCTCTTCTGTAAAGACGGGAGTGAACCCAGCACTTATTATGGGAGCAAGAAGAAAGGCCATGAAGAAGTATGCTAAAGAAGTCGGGAATGCAAACTTAGCCAACGCAACCATTATCAAGGCGGTGAGTGGTCTCTTCAGTGTAATTTTCCCTTCTCTCTTGATTCATAGTGGCCCCCACCTTTATTCATGATTGAAATTTTAACACAGCATGAAGTCCCTAAAATAAGAAAGCTTAGAAATAATCTAACTATCCTTTATGTATTAAAAATGCATGATAAAAAATAAAAATGCATGATAAGGTTAGTTATGAGAATGCTTCTGAAATAAGTAGTGATATAGGCTCAGGAAAACATTATTGTTTGTTATTTCAGTAATCCTCACCCGAGGATATTTTTCATTTAATTTTTAGAGAGAGTGAAAGGGAGGGAGAAAACACAGAGAGAGAAACATTGATGTGAGACACATTTATTGGTTGCCTCCCACATGCCCCTGACTGGGGCCGGAATCAAGCCTGCAACCAAAGTACCTGCCCTTGACTGGAATTGAACTCAGGACCCTTCAGTCTGCGGACTGACGCTGTATCCACTGAGCAAAAGCAACTAGGGCGGAAAATATTACTTTTAAAAAGTAAACATCATACAGAACCTTAATAAATTTTATCATTAGTATTTAGCCATAGATTCATTCAGCTTATAGTCAAAAAGCTCAAAGGCTGGTTTTTACTGTCCAGGCTTATGGTAACTTATGGTCTATCATAAGTTAATAGAATTATTTTAGAAGTTAGGGGAAAATGGACTAAGAGTAGATTTCATTGAGCCAAAAAAAAGGCAAATAAACTGAGCTAAAATTGAATATTATGCACACATTTTTTTGTCACATTACAAGGCTGGGATTTGGCAAATATTTTAGAAAAGATCTGGTGTAGTCAGTAGCTTGAGACTCTAAAGACTAATTTTTCCTTATAACTCTCAGGACCAAAATACATAGAATTCTGGTGTGATTTAATTTTTGACACAGGATGGAGAAGTAGACGGGGAAGATGCTACGAAGACTGAAGAAGAGGATGATGAGATAAAATTTCCCCCAGTAGTCATCAAGACCACAATTCCTGAAGAACTGCAAAGATTTATGCCCCCAGGGGACAATGTCCACACTGTCATTCTGGATTTTACACAAGTCAATTTTATCGATTCTGTTGGTGTAAAAACTCTGTCAGGGGTAAGCATCATCGTGAACAAGTCATTTAATCTCTCTGTGCCCAGTTTTGCCATCAGTAAAAATCAGACAGTTGAACTTAGAGTCCCTTTTCGACGCTTAAACATCTTTTGTTGTTGTGTGTTTTTTTCAACTTTTGATTATGGAAAATGTCAAAAATATTCAAAAGAGCACAGTGTAATGAACCCCCGCATAAGTATCACTCAGCTTCAACAATTATCAATTTATGGTTAATCTTGTTTCACTTGTCCCCCCACACCCACTTTCCCCTTCTCTTATTTTGAAGCGCATGCCAGTCACCACATCGTCTGTAAATATTTCAGTACATATCAGACCTAAATAAAATTTATAGACCTAAATAAAATGTAACAAGAATTCTTTGGTATCCCTAATTATCACTGTCCATATAAAAATCAAAAGAAATATACAATTTTTAAATGATTAGCTCAAAAATGCTTAATTATTGAAGCAAAGTAGTTCAAGTGAATGCACTAGAGTGTCTTATATCAGTGAAATACATATTGGTAAAAATAAACTTGCATTTGGCACAGTCAAGAGAAACTAAACTTTATTTCAACATTATTACAGATTGTAAAAGAATATGGAGATGTCGGTATTTATGTGTATTTAGCAGGATGCAGTGGTAAGTACACTTCTAGAATGAGGACAAATATTATCATTTTGATTTTTTTTCTCTTTTTTCAGTAACTGCATTTGGAAATATTTCAATCTAATTTTAGTTTTTAGTGAAAGTGAAAATTATTCTTCTGAAAATCACTCTAAAGCTAGCTTTGAAATTAGCCACTTAACAGGCACTCCTGTCACTGGGCTCCTTGTGGCAGCCTCCTGAGCTGCAGTTGGTGGAGAGGAGCTAATAAACCATCACTCTGGGCTGGTATATTTCTTAGTAATTATTTAATGGCTGCCGTAAACTTACTTATATAAAATCATGTAGGTTTTTCTATACAATGCCTGCTTTCCTGTTTCATATTAAATTTTGGTTAAAACACTGCTTGGAAATGAACTCTACATAACAGCAAAAATAAAAACTGCTTGACAGTGTGCTCTGCAGGCAAACTGTGGAAGAACAGGCACTCAGCCCTTGCTGGTGTGAGTGCAGAACGGAACAGCCTCTGTGGAGGCTCTCAAAGTCAAAAACACATTTGCCTTTTAACCCAGCAAATCCAGCAACGTGCTACACACACTCAATAAGAAACACCTACGTGGTTAGTGGTCCCAGTACTGTCTCTGAAAACTGTTAATAGAGTGGAAAAGCTCAACTGTCAAACAAAAGGGACCAAGTAAGACAACGAGGCTACACCTATGAGATCGAATACCATGTAGTCATAAAAATTGAGAAGATTTAAATTTTTTAAATATTCAGGATAATATATAGTATGCTTTCTTTTGGGTGAGAAAAGGGGGGAAATAAGAATAAATGTTTATATATTTACTTACATTTGCATAAAGAAATACTGGAAAAATGCATTAGAAAATAATGAAAGTAGCCACCTGCGCCTGGGGGTGTGAGGCCATGGGGACAGGAACTGGAGTGAGACTTTTATTACCATTCTAATATTTGAACTCTACGAAAGTGGGTTTGTTTTTGATGTTCAAGACTGATGCCCAGAGTGCAGACTAATTTTCTTTTCTTCTTTCCTAGCACAAGTTGTAAATGACCTCACGTCAAACTTCTTTTTTGAAAATCCCGCCTTAAAGGAGCTGCTGTTCCACAGCATCCACGATGCCGTCTTAGGGAGCCAGCTTCGCGAGGCGCTGGCTGAACAAGAAGCCTTGACTCCTCCGCCCCAGGAGGATGCGGAGCCCAATGCCACTCAGGCGGAGGCGTGAGGAACTCAGCCCGGGATCGGGTATGAGCCTCTTCCAAAACGACTAATTTACACATTTTAAATACTAGACACGAGATTTTTTTTTCTAAGAGTAAATACGAGTAGTCGAGGCTTGATTTGGAGGGTGAATGACGCATAGCAAGATGTATCTTACTTGTGTGGTTTTCTTTTAATTGGCTATTTCCAAGATGAATTGGCCTCTTACCTGAATTTATTGTGCAGTGACATTTCTGTTACTTTTCAGTATTATCGTTGTCAGCTAAGCACTTAAGCATTTTTCTCTTTAAGCACTTTACCTACAGATCAGTTATGCTGTCACCAGACAGGTAGTGTTCCTTGCTTTTGTACTTGTTGCCCTACAGACTTTCTGTAATGAGAGTTATTGAACAAAGGTGGCATACCCACGGTTTTCTAGTTCTTCTTTTGAAATAAATAAGCTTTCATTTTTACAGATGCAATATAAGTGCATTACAGAAAAACAGAAAAGCAAAAATGAGAAAATAAAACATGATACTGCCACCAAAAAATATCACTAACAACTTAATGCATATCCTTCCATATCTTTATGAATATATATTTATATCTTTTAACCAAAATAAGATCATACGCCACACAATGTTCTGTAACCTATTTTCTTCCATAAACAATTTCCATTTTCTCATTCCAGAACATTTTTACCATACTCAAATTTACCCTACTTGTCCCCAAATTTGTAGTTGGTTTGTCCAAACTAGTATCTATTCTATGACCTTCCACTATAACTGATCATGTCCCTTTAAATCCTTTTAAGTCTAGCTAGCACAGTCCCTTTTTTTTTTTAATGACATTGACTCGTTAAAGAGACTGGGGAAGTTGTCCTGCAGAATCCCATATTGCTAACATGTCTACTTGCTTTCTTAAGGTGTTATTTAGCTTGTCCTTTTATATCCTGAACCACCTGTGATCTAGAAGTTATATCTAGAGGCCTCATGGATTTGAAAAAAAAATTTTTTTTGCTAGAATATATCATAGATGAGACACATGCTTTAAATTGTATCACATCAGAAAACACATCACATCTAGTTGACCCTACCATTCAATGCTAAGATAAATCTACTAACAGTCTAATCCCCTCAATTACGTTTTCACCTTTGTGACTAGGAAGTTATCACCATGGTGTTCCTTTGGCATCTAATGAATTCCCAGTTCCCCATGAGCCATTCACCCAGGGGTTTTAACATCTGGTGATAATACTTGCCTAAATCAGTAAATGCTCAGGTTTGTGATTTTTTTTCCAATTTTCATATTCCTTCTGCATTTATTAGTTGGTGTTTCTATGTAAACTATAGCTTTCCTTCCTTAACTTGAGCTATTTAGTCATCCTTAAATACAGTTCTTACTAGAAAGGCAAGTTTATTTTTCCCTTTTACTATTAACTTCAAAAAAGTTGGTTTAACCCTGACCGGTTTGGCTCAATGAATAGAGCATCAGCCTGTGGACTGAAAGGTCCCAGGTTCGATTCCAGTCAAGGGCATGTACCTTGGTTGCAGACACATCCCCAGTACCGGGTGTGCAGGAGGCAGCTTGTTTCTCTCTTGATGTTTCTAACTCTCTATCCCTCTCCCTTCCTCTCTGTAAAAAAAATCAATAAAATATTTTTTTAAGTTGGTTTAATAAATAGAAGGTGACAAGTTAGGTTTCATTATAAATATAGACTCATGAATTCTTAATGTGTTTCAGTCTGTTATAGTTATTCTTTTGGTGCTAAAATGATCACAATTGTGACCAGTAGGAGCCCCTGGAAATGTTGTTTCTAATAGTGAAGTAGTCTTAAAGACCATGTATTTAACAAAACTAATGCCTTCGTATAACTTAATATTTTCCTTAGAAGTCCAGAAGAGTTATCCGTTAATTCTTCATCAAACTCAGTCATAAGCCTATGAATGAGCAGAATGCTTATTTCAAGAACTCTTTAAAATTGTTCCAAAGGAGTGGGGGAGACTATTAAGCCAACTTGTCATCAAAAGTTATTGTTACAGTGGGGCCTTGACTTACTAGTGTCCCGACTAAGTTAATTCTTCATCAAACTCAGTCATAAACCTATGAATGAGCAAAATGCTTATTTCAAGCACTCTTTAAAATTGTTCCAAAGGAGTAGGGGAGACTATTAAGCCAACTTGTTATCAAAAGTTGTTACAGAGGTAACAAATCACTCTAATTCAAAGCACAAGTATTAGCTAACCTGCCTAAAGCCTCCTATGCTAAGATTTCCTGCTAATAGTCAGTTTGTCTTTATATGTTTTTCTTTTTTAAAAAGTTTTCTTATTGACTCCTTGTCTTAGTTTTCATGAAGAAAACACGCAGGAGAAAAGTGGTCAGATGCCAGGAAAGAACTGTGTGAGCATGGGTCTACTCAAAAACAAACACTATGTTTTGTTTGCTTTAACTCCCATGAGGCTTCTCAGTAACTTTACTAATTCAAAGTAGACTCCTCCCTTTTAATCAACTATTTCCCTACATCTAGAGTGAAATTAGATTTACATCCAGTTATTTCCTTGGCAATCATCACACGCAAGATCCGATACATCTGCATTCTGATACAGACTGCCTTCTGAAAAAGCATGTAGTTATAGAACCTCACCTTATACTAGAAACTTTTGTAAAAGGGCCTGCATCATTTCGGCCATTAAAGTAGAACCTAAGGATTGTAAGCAATATTATAGAATAGTGCATTGCATATTCCTTAGCACCAGCCTTCAACAAATGCTTTGCACATAATAGTGACTCAAGCCTTAGTTGTTGATAGGTTGAAAGTGTACAAAAAAAAATCTTTGTATCTTACAAACATATATTTTTTCTGTCCTTTAATGTTTAACCTATTTTAAATAGAATTCTACCATGTACATAAAAGGCACTTGTCTTACTGATGGGAAATTTTTTCAGTATGCCTCTGAGAATCTAAGAATGCATTTCAAAATGTATTTTATCTACATGTAAATATTTTGGAATGGTTCACTTAGAATTATTTCACATAGTGGAAAATTTCTTGACTCTTTACTTAGTCACGTTTTGTCTCTACCTTCTTTCTGGATTTTAATAGCTGCTAGTGTACGCCTGTTTTTCAGCCCTGGTTCAAATTCAGATTCTTACTGCCCTGTCAATATGTAAGTATTTTGGAATGGTTCACTTAGAATTATTTCATATAGTGAAAAATTTCTTGACCCTCTTTTACTTAGTCACGTTTTGTCTCTACCTTCTTTCTGGATTTTAATAGCTGCTAGTGTATGCTTTTCTGTTTTTCAGCCCTGGTTCAAATTCAGATTCTTACTGCACTGTCAAAATGGGCATAATGTACATCGATAAATATAGGACTAGCCTTTCTTATGGTAGTAGGGGAAAGCCGTTTTCAGGAAGGTCCCATAGAGAAATTCTTTCTTTCTCAAATCCTGTGTAATATGACAGTGGTTGATCTCTACCTCATGGATGGATGGAATGTTTGAGAATAATGTGAACCGGGCCTCAGGAAGCTAGTTCATGTCGTAGACACTGTGTACTCATATGGCAGCTGATGGTAGATCCCAATTGCCAATCTCATCTGCAGTGGGACTCAGAGAAACCCTGAAGGATATGAACCCTCTGCAAGCCCTGGAGTAGCTCCTTGGTAGTTTTCAGGTAACATCTCAATATCCACTCCGTGTGGTTTGATCCTGTGCCCTTACCTGTTTCACAGAGAAAGGAGGTGCTTGCCTCCAAAGGTACCTTTTGAGAAAATGAGTCTGCCCTCCTGTGTGCCTGGAGGGCCAGCAAACACAGATAATTTGCCCTGGAGTGAGTAGGTGTGGTTTTGTTTGTTTTGTTTTAAGGGTTGGGGGTGGGGGAGGGGGGGTGTGCCCTTGTGTGGGAATGGTATGTGGGAAGGCTTTATCTCCTATGTCTGCCCCTTTAAAGATAGTAAGTCCATTTAAATTCTAAGATCCAATAAAACTTACCTGGTGTGAGCCTGTATGTTTTAGTGAGTGCAAAAGTGCTGTTGGTCCTTTTTAGTGTACCTTTCAGGAATGCGTTTATGATTCAGTATGTTTAGATTCTTGATAATATGGTTTGAGTGCTGTTAAAAGTTGATATGAGAACTGATAGAAGTATTATCTAATTCTCCAAACATAACCAAAATGCATGCAATGGTTTTGAAGCCCCTCATATCCCAACAAAATGTTCAAAAGCTAGCTGCCTGCTTACTGACTTGGATGTGACCAAGTTTGAGCATCTCACAAATCCATCTTGCCTTTGAAAAGCTTACCAACTTTTTCATTATACTGGTATACAGCATTTACTTTATGTAACAGATGAACCTGACCTTTGTGGAAATTAAATTTTTATAAATCTGATCACATTTTTAAATGTTAAAAATATTTTTTTTAAGTATTACTCCAGTATTACTTTTCTAGTCATCAACCCTTTGTATTCTGATTTATCTATCAGCACCCTGGCATGTATAAACATCTCTCTACACAGATATACACATGTACATGTGCATTTTAGGTGAAGGGAATTACTGGTGAATGTAAATTTTACGTTTTTAAATATGGTATAAGCATGCTAATCTAGATAATGTTGACACTATCTGCATATACATGCCTGGGTAGAAACACCCACATTTTTCAAATAATTTATTGTATATTTGATGCGTGGCCAGTTAGATTTTTGTCCTGTAACTGAGATGTCAAGATTGAGCTTATAACATGTTGGGCCTGAGTGAGGGCAACATATCCAATTTGAGTTGTCTCAAATTGATGCATGTGATGTATGTGGCTATATGAAAAAGTGGTAAGACTTCAAAGAGCATATTCTAAATGCTTACATTTATCAAAATGTTAGAGCAAACCATTTCTAGGTTCTGCTTATATTTTATACCTCATGAAAGACTAGGGCAGGCTTAGAGGGAAAAAAATTTGATCAATTTCACAAAAATGAAAAATCAAAAAAGGATGTGGTTGGATTTTATGAATAAAGGGCTTTAATTTTTCTGTTTGAAAACTTTCCGTGTTTTAAATATTTCAATGTAATACAGCATTTTCTATGTTTTCAACTTTTTCTTTTGTAAATTAAACTGTATCCACCTCTATTTTGCATTACTTATGAATATTGAACTGCAATAAAAACATTCATTATTGTGCTTGAGTCTCAGAATTTGGGGGAAGGAGGGAATTGTGGAAGGGGTTTGGTGTTGTTTGCACAAGAAATTTTAAAGAAGTCTGTTGAAAATTTCAATGCAACTTATTTTTAATACCAAAATTTAAACCATTAATTTATAAAATGAAAAAAGTACTTATCTGTACAAAGCCAATTCTGGATTTTCTAAATTAGATTATGTGTATATACTTTTTGATTTCACTGTAAATCAATTATTCTTGATTAATTTGAAATTAAGTCAAACTAAAATCAACGATTAAAATCAATTATTAATTTGAAATCAAGTCAAATAGTAAAGCAGAACATATTACATAAGATGCTTCTTCCACTCTAAAAAACGTTTGGCCAAAGCTTTATTATGCAACGCAGTAGGGAGAAATCATGGAAATGCATGTGGTCATGTGCCCAGATGAGCTATTCTGATGAGGGCACGATAGCACACTGTTTAGGAGCACAGGGGATAGAGCTGATAAACTTGGACTTTAATCCCAGCTCTGCAACAAGTAATTTGGTAGGCAAGTTTTTGCATTCATTAGATCAAGATCCATTAGATCTACCTCACTGGGCAAATGAGAGGGTATAAGGACATATGTACAGCACCCAGCCAATATATGCCTCAAACATACATGCTCTAAGCAAGCACTTTAGGCTATGAAACCCTTAAATGGTAGTGGATCAAAAAATAACGTACACTGTAATAACCTTTTGTGCCTAATGATACTAAATATCACCTTTTATTATACTACAGAGAAAAAGTATCTGAAAAAAAACATTTTAAAACCATTTATTTTTGTGTGAAATGGTTATTTAAGTCTATATAAGCTTAGGATTCCAATTAAAAGAAGTGTTTTCATGAAAGCTCAGGGCTCAGTTGTATGTCATGTAGCGGGGAGTAGCACTGAATTTGGCATAGGACTTAATGACCTTATTTACAGCTTCCAAGAAATCCTTCTCAGTAGCTATTTTTCGCCGGGCTCTGATGGCAAACATACCAGCTTCTGTGCAGACACTTCTAATCTCAGCACCTGTCAAACAAAAAGAAAATAACAGGCTTCATTAAAGCAGCCTGGACAGACAGACCAGCAAATATAAACAAGACCTTTCAACCTACCAGTGCTATTTGGACACAGTCGTGCTAACAATTCAAATCTGATATCTCTTTCAACACTCATTGAACGCGCATGGATTTTAAAAATGTGAGTCCGGCCCTAAAAACAGGGGAATTGAAAAATATTACAATGGAAAACATCACAGGAAGAAAAATGTCAAAAATCCCTTTTCTAAGAAATGGTTTTCTGACCTCTAGATCAGGTAA